GAACCCCGGGCCACCGCAGCAGAGTGCGCGCGCTTAACTGCTTGCGCCACCAGGCCAGCCCCATAAATGTTAATTTTAATATGAGAGTAGGATGTTAAATTATTCTCTGCTTCTCCCCTTCCACCAGCCCCCCAAATTTTCCAGTTAAATTTCCCCTTCAAGTCTTCTTTATCTTTGGGATTCAAGCATACATCACTAATTACCATCAGGAGCAGGCTTACGTCCAGTTTGAGAGATGGTAGGTGTGGGTTTCCACAGCCCTTCTTAGAATCCTGACAGTGGCTGGCTTTATCCCAATTGTGTTAATAATTTTGGTTCAGCCCAAGGAATCCTGCTGAAGTTTATTATGAACCAATTTTTTTTTTTTTGAAGGGACAGAGGGAAATTAGTTGTATTTGAAAGCTAAATGAATTTTTTCAATTATAATGTGTATTTTTGTCCATTTTCCTTCATGAACTCCAGTTATGTCCAAAACATAGATTAGGCAGTTTTAAAACACTATTAAGAAAAATTCTGAACATACAGAAAAGTTGAGTAACAATGAAAACCCATATTCTCACCGTCTAGATTTACACACTGAGATTTTTACCATATTTGCAAATGTGGTACTCTGGCTTAGAGGCAGTTGGCGTATTCAGGGAACAGAAGGGACATCAGTGGGGCTGGACCTCTGTGATAAAGGCCAGAGTGCCAGGCTGTGAGTTAGAGGTGAGTAAAGCCTAGAGCGCCATGGTGAGGAGTTCGGATTTTATTATAATAAGGGCAATGAAAAGTTTCTGAAGGGCCTTAGTCAGTCGATTCTTCTTATTGTTCCCTAAAATTCTGCCAGATACTTCTAACGAAATACTGCTGCTGATAAAGGAGGCAAGGGGAAAATGAGAAAGGCAAGCAGATTGTTATGGTGAAAAGTGTCTTTTAACCATCTTAACCTGTGTTTAACCGTTGCTGCCTCCAGCTTGGGCTTCTCCGTACTCTTGGGATTGTCATTTCCAAAGCTCAGATATATGCCTATGTGTTTCACGTCCTTCAGGGTCAGAGCACTTTGAATGGTCCCGCTGGATGGTGGACCAGGCCCTTTTGAAGACACCGTCTCCACTCCAGGGAGAAAGCGTGGGGGCTGAAGAGTTAGTGATGCCTTTGCTGTGAGCATTTGAGCCTTGTTGGAAGGTCATGTGTTGTTCTGTGAAGGGATTAACTTCCATTTTTTGTAAGGATTGAAGTAAGGAGACTGAAGCAAGAGTTGAAGCATGAAGCTCAACTCTTTTTAAAACTAAGTTTGTATTTGGTTCCAAATCTTCTTGTTCCTCTTTATTATCACTAAAATCATTTAGTGAGTCATGAAATCTGTTTAGTCACCCGTATTTTTTAAAAATAGATCCAGAACACAATCATCAATTCTATTGAGATGACCATATATTTCCTAAAGTTTCCTATGGATTTGATGTATAAAATGTTTAGGTTTCTTGATAGTAAACAACTCTATAATTCTTGGAAAAGTGCTGTTTGATCATTTAAAAAAAAAAGAATTGAATAAAATAGAAATTTTTACCCTTGTGTGTGTGTATGTGTGCATGCACATTTGTGTAACATTAAGTTGTTTGTTGTAAATCATGATCAAAGTTTGAAAAACTGCTGGTTCTGTTGGCTCTAACTTTCAAAGTAAAATTAGTAAATTGGCAGCCTTACTTTTCTCTGTCATTTAGCCTTCCATTCAAATGTTTTATGGGTAGTACTTTTTATGTATTAAAGATAGATTGTTTTATATCATCCATTGATTTCTCTAAACTCAGTTCTTATGTATATCAAAATTATACATGTGTATAATTGAAGGAAGCAAATAGTTACAAAAAGGGCTTATAAGAAAAAATACCAGCGCCCCCACCTTTTTCCTGCTCTCTGGAGGCAGCACCCTTCAGCTCTTGACTGATTGTTCTGGAATCTTTCTCCACATCTTTAATGAACATGCTTACATGACACATCCATGATTTCACCATATTACTTGTAACATTAGCCTCAATAGCTGCTTTTGTTTTCTTTATTGTACTGGTTGTAAATTCAGTAACACAATAAATACTTAGTAGCTCTATGCATATTAATCTAACATGTTTATTAAGAACTTTATTTCTTAAAGCATTACTCTTCTTACCCTTTCAGCAATGTTCTAGGCATATGTATTGTCTACCTACTTTGTCATCACTTAGAAGCCATTCATGAATTTTAAACTTTTCTCTGTTTTCAATTATTTTAAAAAGTTGGATCACTGAGTGGCATACACTATATCATTAGTATAAGATATTTAAGCTTAATATGTAGCAAACTTAGACATAAGAAACAGAAATTCTAAGGCAGAAGTTTTAAGGGCTGTGATTTCTTTGTTTTTGCCCCCCAAAATCTTGGAGGGTTGTGTTGCATAAGAATTAGTGAATCTGAGGATGTACATGAAGGAAATAAAAGGATTTGTTTAATTACTGCACTCATACTTTAAAATAAGAACTAGATAATTCTTATAAGTTTTATAATAAAGTTATTTATATAGTTCTTATTCTTTTACTTAATGATTATACTCTGCATTTTAAAAACAATAAATCATAAAAGAATACATAAAGTGTGTGTGTGAGAGAGAGAGGGAGGGAGGGTGGGGAGGAGAAAATATGAGCATGTCATGAATAGCTTCACCACTGTAATTGGATCCTGCTGAGGAGTGTCCACTTCTTGTTTTGGGTACTTGTTGCTAACTGTATTTCCTCAAAGTACAGTCTTAATAGTTTATATGTTCTGCAGAATCTTGGCTGCCTTGTGTACTAATAAAGAGGAATGGTTGTGTCATGCTTCCCCTTTCCCTTGCAGAGGCATTTCACATATGTGTTCTCTTTGACAGCTATACTCTTTCTGCTGTGACCAGTATTTGGTGTGTGGTAGGACTTTTTTAAACCCCTTTTGCCCTGGAGAGTCACTTCTTCCACTGTTGAGCCAGAGCTGAAAATATCTCTGTTGCATAGCACCATAACACTTCCTGCAAAATACCATTACATTCCCACCCTCCACCCAGCAGTGACTTGTAGCATCACTGCTATTATTTGCAGAGTACAAATAGGAAAGATTATATTTCAGAGGATTTATTCTCAGTGTGAGTCCACTCTGTTTATGGAGAAGCAACCTGCATTGCCCTGCACTTCCCTCAAAAAAAATAGATTAAAAAGGAAAAAGTAATGGAAAAGAATGATCCAGGATTTGTGTTCCATCTAGCCAGGTAATCAGAGAGATGGTGTAACACCACTTGGAAGTAAATCACCTGTGGTTGATCGAAACTTCTTGTCATGGAAAGGATATTTAGAAGTAAATTTATGCATCTTTGAATTTTGACAACCTGTGTTTGAGGACATTTTCCTTTGATTAATGAAGATGTGGTTTTAATTTGATCAAAAAAGGATTTCAAGCTGAGAGAAGGTGAGCTATATAGGTGATATTTGGGTCTAGAGATTGGTCAGAGCTGTTCATATCAAAACGTGCCAAGAAATAACACACTTGTTCATGATTTAGTTGTAGGCTTAGCATTAGCATTCATTTGCATGCTCTTTTCCCCTCAGTGTTTATTTGTAAGGAGATATGCAGATCACTGTATCTCAAACTTTAGAGAAAAAACATTCACATAAAGTTTTCAAATGAGGTCTTAGGCAAAGTTCAAAAGAACTGTTATGATGCTATGCTGTGGAGATGTTTTATGATGATGTGGAGAAGACAAAGTAGGGTTGGGATATCTGAGACCCACCTCTCCCTACTTTGGCGGAGGTGGGGAGTAGGTGCCAGGGGCAGTTAAAGGTAGGAGTTGGGAAGTTGACTGTTTGAAAACCACCGATCTAAGTGATCCATAAGGTTCTTCTGAAAAGTGTTATCTTTTGGTGTAGTATGAGGTTGTTTAGTGCCTACAAGTATAACTTCTTTTAGTTTATTTAGTGAAAGAAATTAGAACTTCCGGCATGTTCCCAAGTTACTTCCGTTGCTTGTCCTGTTAGCTTTGTTTTTTTCATGGTGATTTCTTGGAATAGTTGATGTCCTCCTTTTGCATGATGTAAGATTGCGGTTTATGTGGTTGAAATGTCGTTTTCTGCTACCTGTAAAAAATTAAGAACTTTCAGAAGTTCGTTATCCCCGGGGTTTTCTCCAGTGAGCTCCTTTGTAGGAGATAGTCACATCCAGGCAGAAAGAGCACACAGTGAAACTGTCACTGAGGGGATGGGAGGATCTGATGGGATATTTGCCCAAGGCTCCGTCCAAGGTTCTTTTCACTTCTGAGACCCTCTGACTGACTGAAGAGGAAGATGGCTGTGCCGAGGAAGTGTGTGCCTACTGGGGTGCTTAGGAGGAAGCAGCAAGAACACTGGAAAAGGAGCATTTGGAGAGACTTATATAGTGGACCTATTGCTAGTGATGTTTATTAGCTAAGCTCCTGACACGACTTTTGCTTCAGTTTTCTCAACTGTGAAATAGAAATATCTATTAATTGGAGGTGCCTTGTGGTGATTAAGGACACTTTGGATCAAGACAGACCTGAGCCAGTTTTACCACTTCGTACCTTGAGCCGTTTCTTAACCTCATTAAAATTCTCCTGTAAATGGGAGTAATAATGTCCCTCAGGGAATGGTTGAAAAGATCCCATGAGATGATGCTTAGCCTGGGGCTTGGCAGTACTAGTTGCCTGTGAGTGGTAGCTGCTGCCACCTACATCATCAGCACCAGCATGTTCCTCCTCAAATGGGTGGTTAGGAGAGGATGTGATAAAAAAGACGTTTTGAAAAGTATGAAGTGTTCTGTAATTCTAAGATACATCTCTGTATTATCATTTCTCTCATATATTTGTGGGTTTCCCAGTTCCTACTGATTTTAAAAGTCTTGTAAAATGACTTTCTCAAATACTGGTTTTCTTCTCAGATTAGGAATTAGAAAGTATGTCTTCTGTTGACTTCGCTTTTTCTTACTGGTGTCTTGTGCTGTGTCCTCAGGTAAAGCAGGCAGAGCCCAGCAAGGCATCTGTCGCTGCCGCCATGCCGTTCCCATTCGGGAAGTCTCACAAATCGCCAGCAGACATTGTGAAGAACCTGAAGGAGAGCATGGCCGTTCTTGAAAAGCAAGACATTTCTGACAAAAAAGCAGAAAAGGTATGTATTTGGCTTTATTTTATATTTTGAATCTTTTGATTAGGAGGGAAATGTAAGACAAATTATGAGGTGATTTTTAAAAATCAGTAACTCCCAATTTGGGTTTATTTGGGGGTTTTAAAAGATAGTCCTAAAGTGGCATTTGCTGCTGCTTGCATACCTTGTTTTCTCCTGTACTACCATCTAACAAATATATTTCTAACTTTTTTCTCAGTTTTTCATTTGAGGTTTTCAAGTTTATTTACATTTTGTGTTTTTTTTCATTGCTGAAGTGGTTTGTTGATTCCTCAAATCAGTGTTTCCACTGGGAGTCTTCCTGAGGAGATAGCTCTCCTGGTTTTCTTTCTGTGGTCCCTGTATCCATGATGAGCATCTCTCTCTACGCAATCACCACTGTCCAAAACCTGACTTTCATCCCAATCTCTCGCCCCTCTCTTCTCTAAAACACCATCTTTCACTAAATAGTATGAACTTCTACTTCCTAAGGGGTTTATGAATTGACCATGACTTCCATTCCTACTTGAGGAAGATCCTCATGACCTTTCTTCTGGACCTTAGCAGTAGCCTCCTTAGTGCTCTTTCTAAAATATCTCCCCTGCCTTCAAGCTTCAGTGCAGACTCCTCTCGTGGCACACAAGACCTTTTGTGACCTGGTCTCTGCTTCTGTAGATGAATTTCAACCCCTCTCTCCCTTATTCTGTATGCGCTAGCAATCTCAACCTGCCTCTGTTCATTGAAAGCAACTAAAGGAAATAATCAGCTATTTGTACTATTTTTAATGACTTTGTGTTATTCTCCCCCACTCCATTTCCACCTCAGCCCCCATTCATCTTTCAGAACCACCCTATGCATTTCTTTTTCCTAGATGGCTCCCCAGAATACTCCCTCTCCTGCCCCACCCTTGCCCCCTAAAATAAATCTCTACCATTTGTCCACCTCCCTTGGAAATGCCAGGACTGCCACCATCTTCAGCCTGATTTTATGTTGTATTTTGTGTTGTATTTTTGTCTCCCTTACTAGACCATGAGCTCTTTGACCATTTCTGGCCCACCTGTTTTCTCCACAGTACCTGACTCCCATAGGCTGGATGCTTGCTATTTGTTAAATGAGTGTTTGATTAGAGTGACATTTTCCTCCCTATCTTTTCTTTTAGGAGCTTGTTTTCTATTTTGGGTTGAAGGTTAGACTGCTTAACTGCTACCATCTTTTTAAGTCTAAGACTTTGCGGTTTACCTGTGGTCTTGCAAGGAAAAGAATTTCACTCATGGGGTTAAGATTTGTAATTACAGGCTATTGAGTTGCTATATCTTTCTGTCATTGGAAGCAGTCTACAATTAGTAAAATTTTCTATAATTCAACTTTACTTTAGATCTTCCGTGGAAATTCTAGACAGTTTCTTGCATACTTGTAGTAAGCGATATAGGTAAATGTTAATAATATGATGAAACTTCTTTTAAAAATGTCTAGCTTAACAGAAGACAGCTGGATTTTCATATCTGCGTTTGCATTCAATCTGCAGTCATATGTTATTTTGGTTAAAGTATATAAAGAAAATCTGACCTGATACAGATGTACAGTTGGAAAAGAGAGGAGTATTTTAATAGCCTTTCAGATAATTTTGAATATTTTTTGATATCACACAAAAATATGACAGTTGATATTTTCTTGGTTGTAATACAGTCTGAAACTATATGAATGAACTTTTCATACTCTGCACTTTGAAAGGATCTTTTATCCATGTATGATTTTGAAACATGCATTGGCCATTTAGAAAGTATTGGATCACTGATTTATATACATCTTGCACATGTTGACACAGTATTGAAAATTCACATCTTTAAATATCACCACTGATCTCGTCAGAAAAATCTAAACATCGGGAAGTGGTCAAACTTATTCATGTTGTATTTAAATTTCAAAATTCACATTTGGCAACAAATACTGTTAGTTGTTTTCCTTAAAGTGACAGGTTCACTTCATTCATTTTCGAGAAAATGTCTGCCAAATATCCAAGCCTGAATAATTTATCAGTTTTTCTTTCAAGCAGAAATGATGTTCCATAAAAAAGCAGCTTGTTGAGCTCATAGCTCAAACAATCATACAAGTACTTTTCCTTAAGTCAGCCAATCGTATTTCAGTAAGGGGCAGAAGGTGTTTTATGCGTATTTCCTGTTTATCACACCAAATGTTTAAAAGATGTGTCTTATCTTTTTGACATTTTAGAGATCAAGATTTAATAAATATTTTTTTTAAAGAATATTTTTTCTGCTTCCTCGTGACATTCTTAAGTGAAACTGGCTAGCTTTTTTTTTTTTTTTAAGTGAGTTTATGGTAATGAAGATTACAACAATGGCTAATAATACCCAGTTTGGTGCCACTGCCTCTACTCAGGCTAAGGGGTCAGCACCATCAGTGCAAATGGCAATACAGTGGAAAAAGGCAATTAATGTGTTAGTATTAAAATGAAAACAGCTTTGACCTCATGGACCCCTTGAAAGTGTCTCGAGGGACCCCAAGGGGTCCACACTTCCTGAAATCTACTGTGATAGCCAATGGAAGGTGTATGTGTAGGAGGCATCAGGTAGGGGAGTGTCCTAATTTAGATGGGTTCTATGGGGAAGCCTTATTGAGGAGGTGGCATTGGAGTCCTCTAATGATAGAAAACAAGTTTAGTGTCTGATGGAATCCACATCATCTACTTGATTTCAACCAGAGACAGTTTTGCCCTCCACGGAGACATTTAGCAATGTCTGGAGACTTTGTTGGTTATAACACTGGAGGGAGGGCTGCTGGTGACCTCTAGTAGAGGCCAGAGATACTGCTAAACATGAGAGAGCCTCCTACAACAAAGAATTATCTGACCCCAAATGTCAGTAACACCGGGGTTGAGAACTGCTGCTCTAAACCTAAGCAAGAAGAGACCTCCTGCTGTTAGGGTAAACAAAGCAAAGAAAGATAGTTGAATTTATGAAAAATAACTTTCATTTCAAAGGAAGGGGACAACTCTGAAGAGTAATCCATGCAAATTATTCTGAAATAGATTAAGAATAGAGAGGAAAAGCCTGAAATTTCTGTTTCATTTTCTTAGCAAGATTTAAAAGGAGGTAGCAACTAGTACAAATGGTAAAGATGAGGGAACTGAGACCTGAAAACAATAGAAAGATGAAAATCTAATCACTAAATTAAAAACCATGGAAAACAGTTTTGATATCATACTTAAGACTTAAAACTTCAAGGTTGTCTCATTAAAACCAGAGTGCTGGCTCTGACTTGTTATATAGCATTATCCTGGAAATTCTAGCCAATGCAGAAAGAAGTGGTTTAGAAATTAAAAATGCAGCTATTGCAAATCAAGAGGGAAAATTACAGTGTTGAAATAGTCATGTATCTTTACAAAACTCAAGAGAATCAATGCGAAAATGAGAGTTCACTAGGGCAGCTAAATAAATAGAAAATTCATAGCTTCCCTAAATACCAATCAAAACTATCTAGAAGTTGTAATTTTTTTAAAAAGTATTTCATTTACAATAGCAACAAAAAAAGTAGAAGATGTCTGGAATAACTTTGATCAGGAAGTATGCAGAACCTATATGAAGAAAACTGTAAAACCTTACTCAGAGGCACAAAAGAATACTTGGTCCATGTTATTGGATGGAATATAGCTAAGATGCCATTTCTTCTCAAATTAATTTTTAATCTTAAAGCAATTCCATTTAAATCACAGCAGGATCTTCTTATGACTTGACAAAAAACGATTCTGAAGTTCTGGAAGAATAAATAAAATAGCTGCAAAGTTGGGGCGAGATTTAGGGAATATGAATTCTACTTTGTTTTGGAGCAAAACACAATTCCTAATCATGGTTAATGAAACTCCATCTTTCTAGTTGTTCAGGCCAAAAATCTTGAGTCATCCATGACTCCTTTCACACTTCCCAAATCCAATTCATGAGCAAATCCATCTACTTTATCTGGAAAAAAAATTTCTTTTTCAAGCTAGAATCTAACAACTTCTGCCCATTTTCCTAGTTACCACCCTAGAATGAGCTACCTTCATCTCTGCTCTGGATTACTGCAGTGTCCTTCTAGATTGGTCTGCCTTGCCTCCCTACAACCATAGTGATTCTTTCAAAACATGAGTCAAATAACATTTCCCTTAGAGTAAAAGTCAAAGTCCTTACAAGGGCCTGAACTAAGTTCTACAGGCCAAATCCTGCCTAGGCCTGTTTTTGTAAGGCTCATGAGCTAAGAATGGTTTTTACATTTTTAAAGGGTTGGTTTAAAAAGCAAGGAAGAATATGCAACAGAGACCTTATGTGGCCTGCAAAACTTAAAATATTTACTGTCTGTCCTTTTACAGAAAAATAAATGCTGACCCTTGCCCTGGACAGTCAGGCCCCTGACCTCAATGGTCTCTTCTCCTAGTACTGTCCCCATACTGGCTTCCTTTCCTCATGTACTCCAGTCTTTAAGCCTTTGCATTTGGCTGTTCCCTTTGCCTAGAATGTTCTTCCCCCAGCTCTCTGCTTGGCTTACTCTCTTATCACCTTCAAGTCTTTGCCCAAATGTCACTTTTTACCCAACCCCATATTTAAAATGCAACGGTGCCCTCTGGCGTACCTGTTTTCCCGATCTTGCTCTGTTTTTCTGTGCAGCGCTTAAGAAAGAAATCTTTAATATAGTACTTATTGATGTTTGTGTACAATTTCTTCCCCATTAGATATGAGCCTCCCAAAGACAGAGCTCAGTTAACTATTTGCATTTATTGAAAATAGAATACAGGCCAGAGTTAACATGCAACACTGTCACCTTGTCACTGTTCTGAACTCTTTAATTTCTACTGAATAGGATAAAACAGTATTACTCAGAGTATTGTAACAATTTGTATGTGAGTTTGTGACTAATAAGAGGATATCATAGCCAGGTATCCCCTGAATTGTGTGGTGGTGGCCAAGTATCACATTCCCTTTTAGTGCCATCACCCACAGAAGTAGTGAGATAAG